AATATAGTTACAGTTACAAAGAATATGACTGCTGAAGTTAAAAATTCAGATTATTTGCTTTAAAATGAGACTAAGCTTATGAATTTACTTTAAAGGGTTCAAAAGCAGTACTTCWTTTAATTTGTGTCTACTTTTTAAGGCGTTTTATGGTATTTTATGCCCGAAGGTTAACAGGTGTAAGKATGTTTTTCTGTTTCATTTTATTCTTTCCACCATTTCTATACTGTTGATGATTGTACAGCACCTTGTGAATATATTTCTGTGAAAGGCGCTTTATAAATAAGACTCTACCTGCCTGCCTGCCTGCCTACCTACCTTGAACCCATTACAAAACCCGTACAGACCGAGCATTTCAAGCAGTGACCCCAAAGCTCTGTAACAATCTTCCCACTCTTCCTTCACTGCAGACTTCACTGACTGATTTAAGAAACATCTTAAAACATTTCTATTCAGACAGGCTTTTAGTTAAGTATTCTTTTCTGTTTTGTAAATTGTTCTTGATCATATTTGTTTTCTGTTTTTATTGTTTTAGTTATTTTGGTCTCTGTGAATCTCTTTGTGATGRAAGGTGCTATTGAAATAAAGTTTACTTACTTACTTATAGTCTATGGAAAAAAATCTCCTTTTAATTGTTTCTTACCTGRATATTGACACTTTTCTTGACAAACGTGTAAAAATACTTCTATTCTAAATGTGATGGAGGTCTGCCAATCAACTTTCAATAAAAACTACTGATTTACAGACGTACACCTCCTGGTATGTCTGACTTACTGCATCTGCCAAGTATCAGCCTCCCTAAGGCATTGACAACATACCGTGTTACGGGAAACAGAAACACCCACTCCTTTGTTGCCAATCAAAGTGTTGTGTGAGTCTGGGCAGGTGTCTGGATCCTGTACTACCTCCCTGAGGAACTCCAGCACATACTTTGTTCCATGATCTGTGACCCAACGAGGATGAAAGAGTCTACAACTACAGCAACTTCATCTGTCTCATCTTTCTTCACTGGGCTATGATTAAAGTCGACCATATCAAGTGCAAGTATAAACCAAAGAACAGTCCAATTAACCATCTTCTGGCATGCACATGGCTTTTAGGACATCTGTCAACAATCATTTATCATTTTTTAAAGCATTTAAAATTGATACAAAAACTTCCACACTCCACAGATTTGCTACACATGTGGCATCAACACTCGTTTAAAGTGATGCCAAGTCCTGTTGACCTCTACGGTGAGTTACAGGAATTCCCAAAATGCCAGAAGAACAGCTGTTCTGTGCACCCAGAGCTCTGACCTGACAACATTCCTACCAACTGCAAGAAATCATTTATTTCACACAGCATGGCCACAACGTGACCAAGCACACGGATGTGTCGATGAATTTCCTGCTGCAGATCAGCTCAAATATCCAGGCAGCATTTCGTACTTTACACCTGACARAGTGAGTGTGGGAGCAGAATTTGGGACAGAGAGAGTGAATGATTGCATAAACATCAGGTAGAGGAACGGAGGTGAAGGAGGATGAGTCAGACCAGGTCAGACAGAGAAATTCATCATCGTTTTTTTCTTTTGGCTGTTACACTTCAGGTGTTAAACACAGCAAGTCATCCTCCTCCTTTTCACTCTGCGTCCTCTGTCCTGATTCTAACTACCTTCAATGTCCTCTCTAAGAGGGGTGTAAGAAAATATTCAAACACTGAAAAACTGCAATATTTTATTTCTCGATACTGTATCAGTTTTTATTTAAAGTGGACCTATTGTGCAAAATTCACTTTGTACGTTTTTATGCTTCAATTTGGTAGAGATGTTACGATCGCGAACGATCTAAATCTTTTGAACGACTCTTTGCAACGAACGATATGAGCCGAATCGCGGGCCGTAACGAGCCATTTGTAGTTTTATTTCTTTTATTCCTCATATAATCTTTTTTTTCCATACTTAAATTGCTCCCGCTTTGCTTTTTCATGGAAAACAGGCGGAGTTGTGGAGTACAGAAGCTTGCGGTGAAAGGGGAAGGAGGTTTTCTGCTTGACAACCCATGTGACGGGATGACGTCATTACGTACGGCTACGTGATGACATATTTTCCTACGTGATGACGTAATACGTTCAAAATCGAACGGCCATTTTGAACGGCTCTWTGAAACAAACGGCTCCCCAAGATCCGGATCCCTTCACAGAGCCATTTATCCCATCTATACAATTTGGGTCTTTACCGCTTCTAGAAAAAGTCCAAGTGCCAAATAAATACTTTCTGCTGTCTTTTGGCGCTATGTAAATGGAGGAGGGTGCGCCTGGGACGCTCCTGTGCCACAGTGCTTGTCTCATCACACGGGAGCCTCCAGGCTGCAGCGGCATGGATCTTGACTGCCCCTCCATTCATCTCCCCCTCCACTACGGCTTCGGGAAGCAGCAACGGACACGCATTGGCCTCCCTGGAATCAAGGCATCTGACTTTGGTCGGATGCTCTAGTCTGTCCCTACCAAGCCCTCGCATGGGGGGGCCACACTGCGCACAGCCCGTATTCTATGAGAGACCCTTTAGGCCATAATTCAAACTTGCTCTCACATGTACTATCAAACCCTTTCGCATTTACTATCAAATTCTACCACACATAATATTAGTACATGTGAGAGCAAGTTTGAATTATGGCCTAAAGGGCCTCTCATAGTCCACTACTGTTGTAT